TAGACTTTACCATTTTTATTTCGATACTATGCACATTAGAAATACCGAAACAGTTAAACGAACATGTCAAGAAAAGGTGGAATATTATGCGGAATATGAAGCCGCTTGTGGGCATTTCACCGGTTATATTTCACCTCCATTCAAACGATTGCATAATTACCAATCACCCTCCACAACAACGCGCTATTCTCCAAAACCGCCACACCGCAAAACCGCGTAATCTAGCTACCGTATTTTATAATTAATTTAAAAAGAAAAATGTACATGCAGTTAAGCTTCCAGCTTTTAGAAATTCGGTAAAGGTATAATAACTGTTATTAATTATTCTGTAGGTATATCTATATTACTTCTGTTTTTTTTTTGTTTCAGTAAATACATTTTTGTGTAAGTAAAAAAAAGTTAGACCGACTCTTTTTTTTAATAACATATATCTTAATTTATTCTGTCGTGTTTTATTATTATTGAGTTAGAATTTGTTCGGAATTATTCATCGCTTGTCCCATTTTTTAACCTGTAATAATGTTGAAGGGTGTATATATATTTATGCGACCCATTGTAAATAGGTCACATATTCTTAAAATAGTCTTCCTGTTTAATTAAATATCTTTCGTAATCAGTAACGGATATAATTTTATATGATTATTTTTTAGAAGGGTTACTTTTGTATTTACTCAACAAAACGTGGCAATTTTGAACCGTTCATAACCGTATGAGGACCACTGTATGTAACTCGTGATCAGTTACCTATTCTTTTTTGCATTTTTTTATCAGCAGATAAGCCATCAATAAGGTGAACTTTTAAATTGCTTTAAATATATAAAATTTTGCAACTAGACCAAGTATACCTTCTTAATAAAATAATACATGTACTATTACTAAAATTTATTTGATGATGAGGTTTAACAATCATATTTAAACCACCCCTAATAGAACAGTATATGTATAGTTTTTTATTTGTAAACCTAATTGCTAATTGATATGATAATGTTTGGTACTATTTCACGCTTTAACTAATGAACCGATCATCATGAATTTTTCTACACACCTTGTTAGGAGTATCGAAAAAGAACATGGGTATTTTTTATTTAAAAAAAAATACTGTTCCCCAGTGATAAATTTTTTTTATAAATAGCACTACATCAGGTTGGTGCTGTCCTCTACCGGACAGTAGCAACACTATATTAATTTATCAAACTATGAGAGCTACCACTAGCGTTGTTAAGCGTGATACGAGGCCGCCAAAATAGAGGGCCTCATAATTAAGTATGTAAATTTTGACACGTATTTAGGGCATTAACGCTAACGCACATTTTATCTATGCGCATATTTATACTTATTGTGAGTTTTTAATAACAATTTTTTATTATTATTTACAATACATAATTACAAAGGTACGTAAGTGTGTAGAATTAAAACTTGTACTAAAATGTAATAGCTAATAATAAAAAAGACAGATTAAGCTGCTACGGATTTTGCTTGCAATATTCGTCTATTAAATCAGAAATGCAATCGAAGGTGTAGAACGCGACATCGCAGGTTGTTCCATCGTCTAAAAATTACAGAAAGGAAATAATTATCTGTTTTATTACTGTAAGAAACATTTCCGATCAACTTATAGATTCATGTATTAGGTACCTATCTATACGTAGGTACTTACATGCTTAGCACTTGTTATCTTACAGTTTATCAAACACTTGGGATTGATAATAACTAATTAATAATTGCATATTTTATGTAATTACCTATTGCTAGGTACCTGCGTATAAAATTGACTTTATGTTATTTACCTTTAACACTTTCCAAAGTAGTTGCATATGTCTTTTTTGCGTTTGCTAGGCAGCTATTCACCGCTCGAAATGTCCCTTTTATGTATTCAGGATCTGTAACACCTTCTGTGTATAACGTAACAAGTCCATCTGGCCTGGGAAATCCAAATTCGTTTACCTAAATTTAATAAAATTCCTATACCTACTGGTCAGTGGTCACAAACAACTGCTGTTCCATTAAACTAGCGAATTCAACCGAAAAGTAGAATGTCTGAACGGTAGAAAAATTTCTCAGTTACCTATTTACCTTTACTATTATTTAGGGAACGGCATATTTAGGTACGTATCGGTAAATGAAGAGAATTCAATAAGTTTTTTTTTCAATATAATAAATAAATAAAAAAGTTTTATTGAAATTTGGTGGAGGCGCTAGGTAAATTTTATTTTTTGCAACTATGTGTTGAATTTTGAGAAATTAATAACTAATTTAACATTTTACACTCTGACATTGAATAAGTGGCTGTTTGAATTAAAAGTTTGTCATTTTATTTTAGTCTAAGCTATTAATTAAGTTGACTCCTAATTGGATAAATCCATTTATTTTTTGAGAATTCTCTGATGTATGAGTATATGCGTACGTAATAATTGTTAACGAGACCAATGAAATGTTTATTACGATTTTTTGCGATAAAGAAAAGTTAAAAATTCACACAGACAAAACTTATCAATGATTCATTGACTTATAAAGTTACTAATGATCAGTACAACACAACATGATAATTCACGGGGTCATCATACTATCATTATGTACTTCCTTTCGTTTAAATATCAATAAGTAAAAAAAATACGTATTTTGTCAATAAAATAAGTAAACGATATTTATTTACATATGAAGGTAATTGTGCAGGTATAGGTACTTACTGCTTTCATTTTTCGATAAACACACTGAAGAAGACACTACAAAAAAAATTAATTAATCATTTATTAGCTCTCCTATTATCCATAAAATTTGAACAAATNTTTTTGTTCAGAAAGTAGTTTATTTTAATAAACAAAAAAAATCTTTTGCTAATATTATCTTTGCAGGACAAAATGAGGGAGAGTTTTGCAAAAACTGGTGACTTTTTTGCAACATCTGGAGTTGAGAGAGTTGAAGAGTTTCAAGTTGAAAGACGCATTCACCCCTTAATCAATATGTTGTTCTGGTGTGTTGCCATATTATGCCCAATGACTTACTACATGTTCAAGTTACTTTTCAGTGGAAATCCGTTTTATATCTTAATTGTATCTGTAATTTTTGGAGCATGTAAGAATTAATTTCTTTAAACGATGTATTTTGGAAGCTAATGTTTTATCTTTTTGAACTTTTAGTTATGCTTTTACTCTACAAGACAGTGGCAACTACGAAAATAAGCAAAGGATCGTCGTATGGAAAAGCGAGCACACCTTCAAAGAAGGCTGAATAGTAACAAAGAAAATGATTCAAAACCAAAATTTTCACTCACTTAGTGCCAATTAAGTGGTATTATTGCTTAGGATGAGGCAATATACATGTTAGGTCTCCTAAAAAAATCGTTATACTTATAGCCAAACAAGAAAAGAACGCTTAGATTCCTTGAAACATAGTATGTATAAAGGTTTTTTTTATTGCTTAGCTCTATTAGAAAATTGTATAGTAGTTAAAACAGTACCTAGTTTATAAGTATAATTTTGAAACATTTGTGTAAAAAGCTAGTCCTTTAGGAGAATCAAGTACTTTTCCTTTAACCTTCCGAATTTTTAAATTTAGTAAATAAATGATTCATAACGTTTTTAAAAATATGTAAGTACTACATGTGATATATCTTGCTTGTATGTTGCCACTTTTGTTATTTCAAAAAAATATGTTTTATCCTCAGATTAAAGCAATTTATGATTATAAAGCATACTCGGCTGATGTTTGTATGTAGGTGTCATTAAAAAAAGAACAAATATATAGTTTAAAGATTTAAATATGTATTTTAATCAAAGCAAAATATCGTTTTAACACAATTTAAAAACGAAATATTTGAACCACCAAATGTTTATGGATCATAAAGACTGCACTGAATGGAATAGTTTATCACCTGTGCTTTATTAAAGTGTTCAAAATATTCAATAATCCTTATGTTCATTAAATCTTAGCAGCACCTTTATTAAGACATTATTTTACTTTTATAATAGGCAGTGTTAAATGTTTAAAATACCTTGTATGTAGTAACAAATGCATGTATTTCATAAAATAGAACACTATTATTAAATTATTAATTGAATCAAAGTTCAAATATAGAACACATCGTTGGTTAATTGGCGAGATTAGTCAATTTTCACACTAGTATTAAGAAGAAAAAATGTCACAAATCGATTTTTAAAAAATTGTAGGCCAGTTTAAGCAATTATTATTGTGGAGTTCAATAAAGGAAGTATTTTGAACAATCAATTTGTTTTATTAAGTGAATGAATGTATGCAGTTACAATCACAAAATTAATGTTCTCATAGGTCTAAAGGTATGGTCATTCTGCTTAACCTAAGAACAAAATCAATTAGATGCATTTGTACTTTTATTTCCAGAGGATTTGATGTAACATAAAAGCCAGGAACTCCGGCCTGTTCTAAAGTTTGTTGTTGATCAGTTACCTAAAATTTATTGAGTAATTATGTATTAAAATTATACATAACAATCTCTTTGTTTACCTTTTGATCTAACTGCATTATAAGGGATTTATCAAGTTCTTTAGACTCCTGTTTTTGTTCTTCTTTTAACTGTTTCAATCTTTCAACCTTTTCTGCAGCAGTAATCATACAATTATTAAGTATATCTTGTTCTTCCACTAAAATTGATAGACTACAATAGAGATGCAAGGAATAACTATGTATTCAACTAACTTTTATGCTTGTTGATTAACTGGAGGCGTTGCTGATATAAATGTTGCTCGGTTACATGTTGTATTTCCATCAGACCTTTAACTATTTCAAATACAGTTTCATTTAGTAAACAATTAGCTAAGCTTGACAGTAATTCGTAAGGTACACGCATTTGATATTTCCTATAAAGAAATAAATCGGAAATAGTTTATTAACATTATGTATAAAAAAACAAATTGCACTAACGGGGGTAAATCCCTGGCCATATTTTGCAATTGTTCTACCAAAAAATACAACTTCTTTTGTAATACTTCGGGGGCATCCATCTCGAACATCTTCGATTGTCTACATAATTTATGTTCTCTTTCGTTACATCGAGTTCAATTAATTATGTAAATTCTGTTTATTTTGTTGTAATTAGATGTTTAAATATTAATTAACCAAACTTTTTGACGTTTCGTTTGAATCAATACGTTAACCTAGCTTTTCTTTGGAGGTCGTTGACCATAGATAATAGATCTACAAAGGTTGACGGTCGTGGCTAAAGTATCAAATGACTTTTTGTTTGGAGCCAATATTTTACTATTTATTTTTCGTAATAGTTATTATATATTTTAATCTTTTGCTATTGAAAGCAATATTTTGTAGCCTATCCAAAAAAAAATGAGTAGATTTGATTAATTTAAATAAAAAAAAAAAATGAAATTGAAGCGCAAAGAATTCGTATGAAATTTCTACTGTATAAACGGAGGGAACTGATACTCTGACATGCGCAGAATAGCAAATTGATTATAAATATCCAAATTAAAATAGAAAAACAAAATGGTTACCTTCGCAGTAGAAATAAGTGTTTATTAAATAAAACATTTTTTGCCGAATACGCAAGCAACGAATTGTTATTTTAATGTAATTATTTGCTAATGGCGTTATCGTATGCTGAAGAGTTTCACGAGCCTGCTTACTTTGCGGGAGATAATACTAAAAATAGAAATCCACGTAATGTAGCAAATTCGTTACCGTTGAAATGTGTTGAACAATTGTAAAAAACAATATAAATCCAAACAGAAGCTGCCAAATTAATGGCTAAATTGTTCATATCCTTTAAATTATGCAAGTGTGACTAAGTATTACGGCAAATATCGTTGAAAAATTGAATGTAAACGACGCGTTGTGGATTTTATTTACTTTGTGGAAGGGTTTGCAAGTTTTTAATGGAACAAAAACAAGATGGATTTTGAGATTAATATAATGTGGAGGATATGGGAAAGAGATTTTTGTTCGCTAGTTTAGCACAGTGTGTTCGTATGCATTATGAAGGAGATGGTAGGAGGCTGTTGCGTGTGTTCTGATGACAGAGGTTGGCCTGAGAATCCCCTTGTATATTGCGATGGACAATCGTGCACTGTTGCTGTACATCAAGGTACTTACTGATAATTCAATGTAAATTTTTGAATCTTCAGTTTATTAATTATTTGCAAGAAAAAATATATAAATATGCTATATATATTTAATGTGATATTGATTTAAGTATAACATTATTCAAGATTGTAGTGTTAAGGTACCAAGACAACATTGTAAAATGAAATTTGCTTTGTTATATTGTAAAAGTCATTTTTTTTAATTTGTTAAATTTATCTTAAATTATTACTAATTTCTTGTTTTTGGTAAACAGCCTCATTACTGTTAGTAGGTATTGCATCCCATTTTCATTGATGTAAGAAAACACTGTGCATAATGATATTAAAGTTGATTATTTAAAATTTCAATCCCTTATAACTGCTCTTTTTTGTTGCTAAACATTTTTATTATAATTTTCAAAAGCATTGCTATCGTTACTTTATTAATTGATTTTATTACCATGAAAAGACATTTCTTTTGCAAGAGGGATAATTTTTATACTCTTCTAAACAGCCTGTTATGGAATAGTAACTGTTCCCACCGGACCTTGGTACTGTCGTAAATGTGAAAGTCAAGAAAGAACAGCAAGAGTGGTATGTTTCAAATTTATTACTGCCCTAAACTCAAGCATTAAAATAATTTATTTCCCTTTCTTAAACCCTATCCTAAATTTTTGATTTTATTTTCCTAGCTTGTCCTACTGAATGAAGAATTATACACAGATGCTAAAAGTTTTTTAAATTTTAAACCATTTACTTTGTTGCCCAACTTGAAAATAATTGATAAGATAGTGGGGTCAATGGTACAAGTTTTTTTTATTGTTATAGTCAGGATAACCTGTTTTATTTCTTTTTTAATATTGTTTTAGAAATGTGAGTTGTGTCCTAGTAAATATGGAGCCCTCAAGAAAACTGATAATTCTGGATGGGCCCATGTGGTTTGTGCATTGTACATACCTGAAGTTCGATTTGGTAATGTTACAACTATGGAACCTATTCAGTTACAATTAATACCAGCAGAGAGATTTAATAAGGTCCAGTTTATTTATCATTTATTTATTTATTTCCAAGTATCTGTACAAACGAATAAACAAACATTAATAATTTAAAATATAAATTTTAAATACATATATGTAAATATGAATTTTATTCTTCATTCAGGTCTGTTATATTTGTGAGGAGCAAGGCAAACCCTCCAACGCAACAGTTGGAGCATGTATGCAGTGCAATAAAACTGGTTGCAAACAACAATTTCACGTTACTTGTGCCCAGGGATTAGGTCTGTTGTGCGAAGAAGCTGGCAATTATTTGGATAATGTTAAGTATTGTGGTTATTGCCAGCACCATTATGGTAAATTGGTAAGACAGCTTTAGAATTACTTTTATCGATGGTTAATGAGTGTTTATTAATGATTGTAGAAAAAAGGCGGTAACGTTAAGACAATTCCTCCTTACAAACCGGTATCGGCGGAAAGTCACACGTCGGATTCGAGTTCCGAAAAAGAAACCGATCCTACGGTAGCGTTAAATTCTAAACTAAATCCCTCTCAAATATCCTCGTCATCAACCACTTCATTAACAACTTCGTCCTCTTCAACGTCTATGTCGTCATCTTCTCTTAATAAGCGTAATAAATCGTCTTCGAGCGGAAAAATATCGTCAGCCAATTCGAAATCTAACAGTTCTATATCAAAAAGCACATCCAGTTCTTCGCATAACAAAACACTTCATAATTCGTCCGGGAAATCTGACAGAGATAAAGTTAAAGTGCCCAGTTTGAGTGTCAAAAGTGTCAAAGGGACAGACGATGGTTCTGCACCCCCATTAAGCATTCCCAACAATAACAGTGTCGACTCGAATAATAAGAACGAAAGGAAAGAAGTGAAAAGTGACGCGGACGATTCTAATATCAAACCAGATTTGAAAGAGAGCAAGAGCGGGAAAAAGAGGAAAGCAAACTCTCGAACGCCGACCCCTATAACTGTACCTAGTGAAAGTGTTAGCGTTGTAGTGAGTGCTTCCTCTTTGATAAGTTCAAACGAGAGTAGTGTTGGAAGCCTAGGAAACGCAGTTATTTCGAGTGAAAAAACTGAAGGATCCGAAAAACTAAAAAAGGCAAGTTTTACTACCTATTTCAGTCAAAAAATGATTTTTGCCAATTGTTCTTATTAGATGAAGACTGAACTTCCGATAAGCATAAGCCAGCCCACCGTAGTTTTAACAGCAACCGCTTTGCCGTTGAATATAAAACGTAATTCCCCGTCCGCCTCGACGACCGAGCCCATTACTCCCTCATCCAGTCCCCATAACGCGCCTTCACAACCCGTCATACAGTCCAACGTAACCCAGGGTTCATTAGTTGTATCGTTGCCCTTGGCCAATGCAAACCTTAGTCCAAATTCTCATATTTTAAACAACCAGACTCCTTTCGTTAACCTAAGCCAGGACCATAGCAATAGCAGCAGCAGCATACCTGGTCGGAGTACTCCTTCCAATTCAACAGCAAGTGGTATGTTTAGAATATTCATTTTGTGAATTGTCATATAAAAATTTTTTTTAGGAAGTACAATAACAGGCGGCATCACGAATCAAAATAACGGAATGGTCACCAGCGAAATGAACGGCGATGGACTTAAAATATCTTATGAAAAACAAGCTTCAAGTAGTAGTCTTCAAATGGAATTGGAAAGGATTACACCAATAGAACAAGAAGGACCAACAAAACGACCTAGGTAATAAATTGTTCTTTTTATGTATTAAAAACAGGATCATATTTTTTATGTCACTTTTGTATTGTACCAGGTGATTTTCAAGTTTACGATTGTGCATGTGATAAAAGAGATTTATGTAAATCTACAAATTATCCTATAAATAATAACATTCAACGGAACATGTTTGTTGAAAACGCCCGGTATAAACTGTGCCTGTTTCTCTGTAGATCTAGGTCTAGCGAAAAAATCGAAAAAGAAAAAATGACACGAGCAAAAAAGAGAGGATCAAATGACTCTAGTTCCCAGTACAACACCAGCGGTAGCAACAACCATAACATCACGACCGCTACAGCAAACGTCAACAATGGAAGTGTTTCGAGACGTTCGAGCAGGTCGCAACATTCGCCTCCGCCACCATCGCAACCGTCGCAGAGTAACCCGTTGGGAGTGTCAAGAAGTGTGTCACAAATTAAGGAATCTCCACCAAGTTCACCAAGTTCCGAAAGTCAGGGCTCTACAACAACGAATAGAACGAAAAACAGGGGAAGGAAAAGCGCACCTGCGTCTATATCGTCCCACAAAGATACCAAAGACAATCTCAAAGCGTAAGCTAGATAATTTTTTATTATTATATAAAACTAATAAAAACTCGAGCAGGTTTCAAAATGGTATGACCGCCCCCCATATGATGGGAAATCAATTAAACCCTAATTCAAACATGGCCCAGAAGATGACGGATCATCTCAATTCCGAATTGGAAGCCCATAGTATTTTTAATATGAATGAAAGCTCGAACCTTATAGGTCCGCAGTTACACCATAAGGTCATAGCAGGCGTATGTTAACTTTTTTTTTGACAATTTCCTGAAGTGATCTTTTCTTTATTAATTTACATTATAGGCAAGGGCGAGTAGTTCGGGTGGTTCAAGCACAGCATCAGCCACGAGCGGCGGTTTCTCTATGTTGGGCGGAAGTGGAGGATCTATACCCCAAACTTTGGACCAGTTACTTGAAAGACAGTGGGAACAAGGCTCTCAGTTTCTTATGGAGCAAGCGCAACATTTCGATAGTAAGTCTTAAAATGTAATAGTAGAGGAATACTTAACTCACATGTGGTCCGTTTGCCTTTTGCTTGTAGTTGCATCCCTATTGTCGTGTTTGCACCAACTACGAGCAGAAAATTTGAGACTCGAAGAGCACGTGAGTTCGTTATTGCAACGACGAGATCATTTGTTAGCCGTGAATGCAAGACTAGCGATCCCGCTCACGGGACAACCAGCCACACCCCAGGCTACACATCCGCACACTGGTACGAATCGTTTAATTCATTTTTATAAACACCTAAATAAGTTAGAGTGTGTGTTTGTACCGATTCATTGAATAAAAACCTTTACCTTCGCTTTTCTCGCTTATATTTAATAAGAAAATTTATATGATTATAAAAAAAAAATGGATTTGGAAACTGAGCGCTTTCATATGATATTCCATTTCACTTTTTAATTTTAAAACTCCTCTCGACAGCCTTATTTATTATTGTTATTATTATTTTTTTTTTTTAGTTAATAATATTCATCCGACAGTTTCTGCCCATTCCGAAAGTTCTCGAACGCGACATAATGGCGTATACACGGGTCACGGTCAAATGCCTCCACAACACCAGTCGTTACCGGTTGAGAACGGTTTGCCCTCCGATCCCAGTCAACAGTACCCCCATCAGCATCGCAGTCCGGCTGGTAATAATCAGAATCCTTCCAGTTCCTCAGTGCGGTGAGTTTAGTACATTTTTCTATTCGCTTACTCGCTTTAATAGAAGTGGCATTTTCAAATTTATGATTACATGTTAAAGATGGTCATGAGAGGAAGTTGTGGTTCAAATTGTCGACGATAATCGACATCTAGCGGAGGAATGGTGTTGGAGAAATGGATTTTTGGGTTTATTCTGACGAATCTTTTTTGTTATATTAAAAATAGAGAAATAATCGGTAACCGTGGAGTACGGCTAGGCATGTACAAATATTTCAAAATTTATTGCTCACTCTAGGCGTTAAGCCTGTATTGTGTTCATTAATAGGTTAATTGTTAATTATTTGTTGTTATTAAGTTATGAATTGTACGATTTTTTTTTGTTATTTTAGAGCGATGTTTTCTTATTCTTTCGCCTTTTCTTATATTATTTTATTGATACACAACATCTATTAGACACATTATTAGCTTTTATAAAACATTGGTTAGTACAGAATGAGATCTCTCAAAAAATTTAAATAATTAATATTTATAATTAGCTTAAATTAAAAAACACGATTTTTTTAAGGAACAACTAACATACTTATAAATTAATGTATTGAAGTTAAATATATTAAGCAAACGCGTTTTTTAATAAAACTTCTCAGATGACTTACATAAAAGTTGATAAAGAATTTTTAAACAATTTTTTTGTCAATTACATTTTTTTTTTAATTTTTAACGTTAGTGTGAAGTTTATGTAACAATTTTTAAAGTACTATGTTTAGCAAGTTCACTTAAAAGCTCAGGGATTAAATAGGATTTACAGTTGTTGTATACAATTTTTATTGGTGATGTAGCATGGTAATTCGTTTTATAATAATTTTGATTTAATCAATACTTATTAATAAGAGAAATATGCATGCCTCAGAATTCATACATATTCGTAGCATAAAAAGGAACCATGTTACATCATTGATTATCGCATATACATATATAAATGAACCGATACTTACAGTTTTCATTAAATTATGCAGGCTTTGTTCGTAAATGCTACTTTTAATCGCGTAATTTATAATAAAAGGATTAACCAAGGTGCCAGTTAGTAGACGTTAAGTTTCCGCTTTTGTAAATATATATACAATCTGTAAATGCTTGTAACTAATTTCGCTATTGTTACTGCTAAGCTGGTATCAACATTAAAAATATAAGTAATTTTGATTTTTCAAATTCGTCAAAATGCTCGTCAATCCGAAACTGTAAAAAGAACAAATATTTTTGTTGTAAATAATCTCGGAAATATTTATGTACTTTTCTAAGCAAAAAAATACCGAAGGAACAGGAACTAGTTATAACGAAAGGAAACAATGAAAATAATACGATATGCGAACTTGTGTGGTAGCTGTATAATTTCATTTTTCTTTTGTCTAATTATGTGCGAACATAAATAATGTCTTTTGTATATTTTGTAAATCAGTGTTTTGTTTTTAGTTTTGTAATATACACTTAGATTAATTTAATATGCTATTTTGAAATTACCCTAAACACTGTCTTAAATAATCAATATACAGTAAAACTCCCCTACTTCGAACCTCCTAAAGTAAATCATTTATTATCGGGTTAGACAAAATTCCATTGCATGAAAAACAATTGTTCTTGACCAAATACTCATTTTAGTCGAACTGAAGTCTTCGGCATTTTCAAAATTATTTTGATCGTACAAAAATATGATTTTAATGTTTTCTTTCAGCGCGGGCAAAAATTTTTAATAATGTTTTTTGTTTAACGTTTGGGTTTATTCAACAATCATCAGACTAACGTTTACAAAAGTATAGTTTTACTTAAACTATTACACAATTTTTAGTTTACCATTTTCACATGAGCACCAACCTTCTACTTGGTTTATGATCTTTAACCGTTCGTTTGTAATTTGTGTTACAACATTTGTATTAGATTATTTTAATTATTTATTACTTATGCCTTCTAAAATTTACTGCATTCTGGATGCTTTCTTTTATGTGTTATTTCTTCGATGGTCCTTTTCTGTTCCAAATTTCCGGCTTCTTTAAAGCTGTGATAGTTATTAAATGCATGTTTTGGTAGGGATGTTTTTGTTAGGTTTGCGACTGTATTGGCTGATGTATTAATTGACCATTAGTACGCAAATTTGAACTACAAGCACATAGTGTCACACTTTATAGAAACCTATGACCAAACAGATGGATTATTCGCTAAAACTTAAATTGGAATCAATAATTTTGAATTTTCATGATAGGAAAAATATGCTCTTCGCAATATTTTAAGCCGTTTATAAATAAGACGGCTACTCGTTATTTGTGATGGGTTTAGAAGCCTTACTTTGGAATTTCACGATATTTATTGTATGCATGGGAAGCTGTTCTTTAAATTGTAATTTAATATTAATAAAAACAAAAATGTCTTTAAAATATAATCAATCAATTAATTATTTCTAGGTGCGTAATATTTTGCGGTTTCTTCGAGGATAGTATTGACTTTCACGTAAAAAAAGTTTATTTCCCCAGAAAAAAAAGTTTTCTAACTTTGTAGTTACATTACTAGAGTTGTAATATCTGCTGTATGTTGGCTTGTCTACATATTATAATATAAATTGTAGTTTAACTGTAAACAGTAAAATAGAAATTAGCATCTCTAACTGCGTCTGCATTGGAAAAATTTAAAGTGCAGGTCAAAGTTCATCACGCTACTCGAATGAAACCTGAATTATAGCCCTGTTTCAAATTGTCCTAGTGTCTTCCCTAAAATTTTCAATACACTTTTTGAAAAATAGTTGATAATGCTTATGTATGTCCGAGAATGGTTTCTTTTCGGCATGTAAACGGTAATTTATAAAAAAATTAACGAAAAACTCTCATTTAGTAAGTATATAGTTTCTTTACCAGTTTCAATTAATTTGTATGTATTTTCAATCAAATTTTAAAAATATCGCTAATTAATTAATTATTTGTGTACAATATCTTGCAGCTTGTTATAGAATAACAATAAGTTATGCGTAAAAAAAGTTATTTCCATGAAAAAAGAATGGTTTTTCAGCTTCTTTTGACGGTGCGTTTATAATACTTTCTGTATGTTGGGTTGTCTATATACAAACTAGTTAATAAAGGAGAAATTTGTATTTACAAGCCGTAAGTAGCATTTTGGCCAAACAGATCTGCTATGTTGTTTCCCTTGATAACTCTTGCTAGATTTTTGCAATATCTCAGCCTTTTCAACAAACAATAAAGGAGAAATTTGGATTTTCAGAATGACCTGCATGGACAGTAGGTAACATGCTGGACTGCAATATTCATCATCATTAATAATTAAGTATCTTTAGAAACAACACTTCCTATAGTAGAAAAAGAGTATTTCCTGAGTAGCCGAATCATTTGGGGGCCCATAACTTGAGTATTTTTATTAAAAAACAAATTTAAGACAAAACAAGTACTTTGACAAATCGAGATAACAACAGCTTATAGCATGTTAACATCCGTAATTAGGTAAATGAAAG